TACTATCAGAGGGTTTGTGCTGGACCTGTAGCTCCAGCCCCCTTTACTGGCAGGGGGTTGGTGCTGGACCAGTAGCTCCAGCCCCCCCTCTACTGGCAGGGGGTTGGTGCTGGACCTGTAGCTCCAGCCCCCTTTACTGGCAGCGGATTGGTGCTGGACCAGTAGCTCCAGCCCCCCCCCCTCTACTGGCTGGGGGTTGGTGATGGAACTGTAGCTCCAGCCCCTTTTACTGGCAGGGGTGGGGGGGGGGGAGGGTTGGTGCTGGACCAGTAGCTCCAGCCACCTTCTCCTGGCAGGGGGTTGGTGCTAGACCTGCAGCTTCAGCCCCACTCACTGGCAGGGAGTTGGTACTGGACCTGTAGCTCCAGCCCCATTCTCCTGGCAGGGGGTTGGTGCTGCACTTGTAGCTCCAGCCTCATTCTCCTGACAGGGGGTTAGTGCAGGACCTGTAGCTCCAGCCCCCTCTACTGGCAGGGGGTTGGTGCTAGACCTGCAGCTTCAGCCCCCCTCTACTGGCAGGAGGATGGTGCTGGACCTGTAGCCCCAGCCCCCCCTCTACTGGCAGGGGGTTGGTGCTGGACCTGTAGCTCCAGCCCCCCCACTACTTGCAGGGGGTTTGGTGTTGGTCCTTTAGCCCCAGCCCCCCCCCCCTCTACTGCCAGTGGGTTTGTGCTGGACCTAAAGATCCAGCCCTCCTCTACTGGCAGGGGGTTTGTGCTGGACCTGTAGCTCCAGCCCCCTTCTCCTAGCAGGGGGTTGGTGCTGGAACTGTAGCTCCAGCCTCCCTCTACTGGCAGGGGGTTGGTGCTGGAACTGTAGCTCCAGCCCCCTTCTCCTGGCAGGGGGTTGGTGCTGGACCTGTAGCTCCAGCCCACCTCTACTGGCAGGGGGTTGGTGCTGAACCTGTAGCTCCAGCCCCCCTCCAATTGCAGGGGGTTGGTGCTGAACCTGTAGCTCCAGCCCCCCCCCCCCCCCACCTCTACTGGCTGGGAGGTTAGTGCTGGACCTGTAGCTCCAGCCCCACCTCTACCGGTAGAGGGTTAGTGCTGGACCTGTATCTCCAGCCCCCCCCCCTTTTACTGGCAGGGGGTTGGTGTTGGACTTGTAGCTCCAGCCCCCCTCTACTGGCAAGGGGTTGGTGCTGAACCTGTAGCTCCAGCCCCCCCCCACCTCTACTGGCTGGGAGGTTAGTGCTGGACCTGTAGCTCCAGACCCCCCCTCTACTGGCAGGGGGGGGGGGTTCATGCTGGACCTGTAGCTCCAGCCCTCCTCTACTGGCAGGGGGTTGGTGCTGGACCTGCAGCTCCAGCCCTCCCCCCCCTCTACTGGCAGGAGGTTGGTGCTGGACCAGTAGCTCCAGCTTCCCCATCTATTGGCAGGGGGTGTGTGCAGGAACTGTAGCTCCAGCCCCCCCCCTCTCAACTAGCAAGGGGGTTGGTGCTGGACCAGTAGCTCCAGCCACCCTCCAATGGCAGGGGGATTGGCGCTGGACCTGTAGCTCCAGCCCCCCTCCAATGGCAGGGGGTTGGTGCTGGACCTGTAGCTCAAGCTCCCCCTCTACTGGCAAAGGGTTAGTGCTGGACTTGTAGCTCCAGCCCCCCTCAATTGGTGTGGGAAATTTTTACCCACCATATCTAATAATCATCTAAGAAATGTATAATTTCTATATCATATCAAAATCATATCTAAATCGTATCAAAATTATATTAGAATCATTATAGATTCATTATATAGCTTGATCCTAGATGACAATGTCACTATGATCACGTACGCTACAGGGCCCTATTGATGCCTACGTGACTTTGTGCATGATCTCTCAAGGATCCAGAAGCTTCTAGAAGGATTTGTTAATTAAAAAACTATTGGAACATTTATTCAATATCCGGTAGGGATAAAATCGAATCCTTAATAAGAATCAGTGGTACTATCAAGTACTACTAATAATCTTTATATCCTATCTCTAATTATATTATAATCACATCTCAATCATAAGTCTAGACTGTAAAAATAATCAATATTCATAGAAGGCTACCGTGCTCAGGGAGCATGGGGGGGGGGGCGATGGCTGGGAGTGAAGCGCCCACCAACACACCCCGGGGCACTTCGCGTTTGTTTACAAATCAGTGAACAAGTGACGGATCCTTAGCGAACATTTGGCTTAGGACACCTTATCTAGTTATCTTTATCACCAGTGAACACTCTCTAGAACTGGGGGAGTACCTGGACAATATCTACAAGGAAAATCCTAGGACATTTATATAAAATAAGAGTGTATAGTGAAAATCAGTGACACGGTTTCCACCACCTTCATTCTTAATCTTTATCAACTATCATTCTTCTGCAACTGCAGGGACAATCACGTAGCAACACTACCAGTACATCATACAGCAACGCTGTGACAAAATATCGTGCCTAAACTCAACAAGAGAGAGTTAATCAGTCTGGCACCTTGTCAGACAGGCACCCCGACTGGCAGAGAAGTATATTGAAGGTTATTTTGGTATATGATTGGCCAATTGTATGCTTGTGTGACTTTAATATCCTATAAATCTGTCTGTTGGTTAAAAAGCAAGGCAAAGCCTCACATTTCAGTAAGTTTATTAAAATTGTAGTGTAGCTGTGAATCTTATCCGAGCACTAGACTCATGAGTGTCCATTGTGTCAGAAAAGAATTCAGCCGCAATAAGTAAATAACCTCATAAGTGTCCATTGTGTTGGAAGAGATTCAGTCAAGCTAACTGTACCTAATCACAAATTGAATATAAATACATTGCATATATACTTGAATATATAAATTAAGTTATCAATTGCTTGCTTAGTTATTTTTTAAGTTATCATATAAGTTCATTTAATTGAATGATTTCTAGTACTTAGTTAACAGTATTTAGACTACATTTAAAGTAATTTATTATACTTTTACAATTTAATTTGTTGTTTATAGTATAAGTACATATTGGCTGTTAATAGTTATGGTGCTAGGTTAGACTATGTATGTTTAAATCCCTGATTTAAACAGAGCCAGTGTTCAGACATATAACTGAATTTATCAAATCTTATCCTTGTATAAAATACAAGCTGATGTGAGATCCCTGTCTACAGGTGGACTGGAACTTCTATCAACTAATTCATTCACCCCACCTGTCCCTTACAGCCCACAATCTGTCATTAGGAAAAGAGGAGCTAGGATTTACAACCCTAGCTAGAGATTTTAATTGAATTAATTTGCAGACAGTAAATTTTTAATTTAGTTCAGTACAAGTCCCTGGTAGTCTCCTCTTATATCAATCCCAGCAGGTTTTTCCCACATTAATGGCAGGGGGTTGGTGCTGGACCTGTAGCTCCAGCCCCCACTTCTACAGGCAGGGGGTTGGTGCTGGACCTGTAGCTCCAGCCCCCTTCTACTGGCAGGGGGTTGGTGCTGGACCTGCAGCTCCAGCCTTCCTCTACTGGCAGGGGGGTTGGTGCTGAACCAGTAGCTCCAGCCCCTCTCAACTGGCAGGGGGGTTGGTACTGGACCTGTAGCTCCAGCCCCTTTCTCCTGGCAGGGGGTTGGTGCTGAACCTGTAGGTCCAGCCCCTCTTCCCCGTCTACTGGCAAGAGTTTGGTGCTGGACTTGTAGCTCCAGCCCCCCTCTACTGGCAGGGGGTTGGTGCTGAACCTGTAGCTCCAGCCCACCTCTACTGGCAGGGGGTTGGTGCTGAACCTGTAGCTCCAGCCTCCTTCCAATGGCAGGGGGTTGGTGCTGGACCTGTAGCTCCAGCCCCCCTCTACTGGCAGGGGGGTTGGTGCTGAACCAGTAGCTCCAGCCCCTCTCTACTGGCAGAGGGTTTGGTGCTGGATCTGTAGCTCCACCCCCTCTCTACTGGCAGGGGGGGGGTTGGTGCTGGACTATTAGCTCCAGCCCCCCTTTACTGGCAGGGGGTTGGTGCTGGACTATTAGCTCCAGCCCCCCTTTACTGGCAGGGGGTTGGTGCTGGACCTGTAGCTCCAGGCCCCCCTCTACTGGCAAGGGGTTTGTTCTGGACCTGTAGCTCCAGCCCCCCTCTACTGGCAGGGGATCGTGCTGTAGCTCCAGCCCCTCTCTACTGGCAGGGGGTTAGTGCTGGTCCTGTAGCTCCAGCCCCCCTCTACTGGCAGGGGGTTGGTGCTGGACCTGTAGTTCCAGCCCCCTTCTACTGGCAGGGAGTTGGTGCTGGACCTGTAGCTCCAGCTCCCCTGTACTGGCAGGGGGTTGGTGCTGGACCTGTAGCTCCAGCCCCCCCTCTACTGGCAGGGAGTTGGTGCTGGACCTGTAGCTCCAGCCCCCCTCTACTGGCAGGGATTTGGTGCTGGACCTGTAGCTCCAGCCCCCCTCTACTGGCAGGGGGTTGGTGCTGGACCTGTAGCTCCAGCCCCCCTTCTACTGGCAGGGGGTTGGTACTGGCATTGTTTGGGAGTTTGTTGGCAGTTTCAAGGCTTCAGTCTCTTCGAACCCAGCAGTGGTCTGTTTTGGTTCACTGTCTTCCTGGATGCTTTCCCGGTAAGATGGAGAGTGGTGACACTCCACCACTCTACTTGGTGGAGTGTCACCCGCTCTCTGTGCCTCTGTGAGGGGGCAAGGATCCTAGGTTCAATAGAGGATCACAGGTTCAATCACTATGCAGGACAGAAATGGTTAATTTCAGGACAGCAAGCATAAGAAATATTGCCGGAACAACCGTGGACATCTTCAAGAGGAAACTAGATTTATTCCTCCAAGGAGTGCCGGACCAACCGGGCTGTGGTGGGTATGTGGGTATGTGGGCCTGCGGACCGCTCCAAGCAACAGCCTAGTGAACCAAACTCTCACAAGTCAAGCCTGGCCTCGCGCCGGGCTTGGGGAGTAGAACAACTCCCAGAACCCCATCAACCAGGTATCAACTAGGTTCACATGTTTCCTTTCACCTGTTCCTCCTGGTCACCTACCAGTAAATATTTATCCCAGAGGTAGGAAACTATTGTGCATTGTATGTTAAGGAAAGTCAGTAGCTGACCTTGGGAACCCCGATAAACCTAAGAACAGGCTTCCTTTCCTCAAAACGCAACTCAATATCTTGTGATATGACCTATGAGAGAAAATAAAAAAACTTACTGTTAATTGCTTCTGGGGGATCTGTAGAGTGATTTCCTGAACTTTATCCATGATGCTGGAGGCTGAGTCTCCCAGGTGTACAGGGTCAGCTGTGGCATCTGTCTCTGTGGTCGTCATCTCCAGGGCCTCCCTGATGGTCTCCTGCACCTGTCATTACCAACACAAACATTAATGGTGGAGGCTGAGTCTCCCAGGTGTACAGGGTCAGCTGTGGCATCTGTCTCTCTGTGGTCGTCATCTCCAGGGCCTCCCTGATGGTCTCCTGCACCTGTCATTACCAACACAAACATTAATGGTGGAGGCCGAGTCTCCCAGGTGTACGGGGTCAGCTGTGGCACCTGTCTCTGTCATCTCCAGAGCATCAGGCTCTGAGTAAAGTAACTGGACTATAATGAAGCATCAGGCTCTGAGTAAAGTAACTGGACTATAATGAAACATCAGGCTCTGAGTAAAGTAACTGGACTATAATGAAACGTCAGGCTTTGAGTAAAGTAACTGCAGTACAATGAAACATCAGGCTCTGAGTAAAGTACCTGAACTATAATGAAGCATCAGATTGAGTAAAGTAATTTGACAATATAAGTAATGTTTCTCTACACTGATCACAGTGTAGAGAAAATTGCCAACTGAGAGGCAATACTACACTCAGTTGGGTGAGAACAATGTGATCTTCAGCAACGTACCTTCACTGAGATGTGGACAGTCTTGACATCTGGGAAGAGTTCCTGGCACTTCCGGTGCCAATCTTCTACCTTCATCTTGCACCCAACAGCTGTGTCTATGGTTGTGTCAACCTCCTGCGGGGTGTTGACTGTGTCGAGGCTCCCCAACATGGCCTGCAGCTGAGTTTTCCCTTCCTCTCCTTGTGTTGTCATATTCACCACACTGGCATCCTCCAGTTCCAAGAGCTTCATTGCTGACTTGTTCTGCTCTACCAGAGCATAGAGTTTGTCCTGGAGCTGGAGGTGGTGAGTCTTCCAGTCCCCCAGCTGCCCCCGGTACTCCCCCAGCTGGGACAGTACCTCTTCACAGCTAGTAATGAGGCTGCTGATGATGCTCTTCTGCTCCTGCAACATGGAACGTAACTTCTTTTTTGCGGGTACAGCTTCCTCTTGTGTTTGCTGGATATTTTTGAGTTTCCTAACAAAAGCCTCCACAGCATAGCTAATTGGGAACTGAGTAGCAGCTGTGGCAGCGTGCTCGGCACGGCAGCTGGGGCAGGTCAGCTGACCATTCTTGATAGCATTGTCAACACACTGGGAGCAGAATGTGTGGCCGCACGGCAGTGTGCGAGGCCGTAGCTGATTGTCATCATAATCGTTATAACACACTGAACATTTCTCTGGCTTGTTATCCTGTGGAAAAGAATATTTGGTTAAGCTAGATGTATTTACAACAAAAAATTAATATTACAGTACAGTGGTACCTCGCATAACAAATTTAATCCGTTCCATGTTCGTCATGTGAAACGGACGTCATACAAAACGAGTGTCCTCCATGTAACCACTGTGATGCACTGTGTTTATGTGGCACATGTATATGTATATATATATGTGCTATATGTGTGTGTGTATATGTGTATATATGTGTATATTATGTATGTATATATATATATTTTATATATATATATATATATATATATATATATATATATATATATATATATATACCAAATGCCCTCACCAAATGCAAATGTCTTGTCAAATGACTTTGCCCTCACCAAATGCCTATCCCTTCCGAGGCTAACCTACTTTCTGAGGTGCGCCCTGTCTTACGACAGCCGAAAGCTTGAAGAGCTTACGACCTCTTATGACCTCTTACTGAAGACCATGCTGGAAAAAGTTGCTAACCTCTCCCTCAACGAATGCCAGTGGAAACAAGCCACTCTTCCTGTTAGGCTCGGTGGCTTGGGTGTCCGCACTGCTACCCAAATTGCTGTCCCAGCCTTCCTGTCTTCCTCCTCAGCATCAGATGACCTGGTTAAGGAAATTCTACCTGACACCCTGAGTGATGTAGCGAGGATACAGGACCCCCACTACACGGAAGGCGACACGAAATGGGGTGCCATGGCAGACCCAGCACTCAGACCAGCCATGCCGAAAGCCAAGAAACAATCCAGTTGGGACAGCCCCATTGTCGACAAAGAAGCCACAGCTTTGCTGGAGGCAGCAACAACCCCCAGTGATCGTACACGCCTCACAGCTGTGCAGGCTCCCCATGCAGGGGACTTCCTTTTGGCAGTCCCTATGTCTGCGACAGGCACATGTCTTGATCCGCAGGAGCTCCGTATTGCAGTCGCTCTCCGTCTTGCTGCCCCTATCCACACTGTTCATAGGTGTATTTGCAGCGAGGCAGATGCTGACGAATATGGATTGCATGGCCTGCTGGCCTGCACTGTGGAAAATCTGGTGGTTGGCACACTAGACACGACGAAGTCAATGACATCATTAAAAGAAGCCTTGCCTCTGCTCAGTGTCCAGCAGAGAGAGAGCCCCGCAACCTACTGAACCGTGACTCTGTTAGCTTTGCCGGCCGACCAGACGGAATCACACTGCGACCGTGGAAGGGTGGCAGACAGTTGGCATGGGACTATACTTGTGTATCCACTCTGGCAACCACATACATCAACCTCTCTGCCGGCACAGCAGGAGCCGCGGCAACACGCAGAGAAAGAGACAAGTCAGCCAAGTACAGGCAATTAGATCATCGGTACAACTTCGTTCCAATAGGGTCTGAGACCCTAGGCCCATGGGGAGAGAGTGCAAGAAGGTTTCACAAGGATCTTGGTTCCAAGCTCATTGACACCACAAAAGACCCTAGAGCAACAAGTTTTCTCTTTCAGCACCTCAGTGTCGCGATCAAGAGGGGGAATGCTCGCTGCATCCTCGGTTCCTGCCCGGCGTTGGAGGAGTTCGAAGAAATCTACAGCCTCTAGGAAGCGAACTTTTTTTTGTGTCCTCTTAATATTAATTTTTTGTATAAAATCAGATACGTAACTTTATAACTTGCATAATAAAGTGTACACCATAAAAAAAAGGGGGGTGGTAGGAGAAGCGAACACTCTTACGTATTCAGAGTTAAATGGCAAGTTTTTCCCTGAATGCTCTGTGTTCCCTTCTCTGAGGCTGTGGGTCCCTATAATTGCACCAGAGGTGGTACCCCCTATATATATATATATATATATATATAGGGGGTATATATATATCTATATATATATATATATATATATATATATATATATATATATATATATATATATATATATATATATATATATAGTGCATATATATATATATATGTATATGTGCTGTATATGTATGTGTATATGTGTGTGTGTATATTTAATGTGACGGTAAAGCGTTGGTGTTCGGCTGTTTCAAAAGCTAGGGGCAGGGCCTCGTCACATTAGAGAAAAAAAAAAAGAGAAAAGCTGGAACTTTCGTCTGTGGTAAGGTAATGGGAAGACACACAAAACACAAGTAAATTTAACAATGAAATTTTAATTACGTTAGAAAAACAAGACATGAATAAAGTTAAGCATATAATATAAAAGAGACAAGTCAACAAACAAAATAATATAAATAATCACTGGCAAATCAAAAGTTACGTTAAGGCAAGTGAGTTACAGTGATAGCAAAATAAATATGAATGGAGCTGGAATATTGGCTTCGAGCTGCCACCTCCCTTAGTACACGAAAGCCAAGGCTTAGTCTACCAGCGAGAGATGTCAACTGCAAGGTGCACTGAGATATTCTGACAATACTGGGCCGCTGCAGCCCAGACATCAACTTGTGGCAGAGGGCGGAGGGCAGGTGCGACGGGACACCAGCCAATCAGCGACAGGCAGGCAATGGACAAGCAGTTTGCCGGTTTATGGTGGCGGTAGGTAGCAGGTGTGCCGGTGTGCTGGATACGTTTTGCTCTCTGGGCAAAACGTTTTGGAGATACTTGCTGTACGTATCTTCTATATTATCTTTTGTTGTTACGTACTTTGAAGGGAAGAGCAGGCTCAATCTCTCTTGAAAGAGATTATCGTCACAATATATATATATATATATATATATATATATATATATATATATATATATATATATATATATATATATATATACTAGTTGATTTTATACCCGCATTAGGTCAGGTGATAATACAATGAAGGTGAAAACATGGGGTGATACATAAGGGATAAACATAGGGGCTGCAGAAGGCTTATTGGCCCATACAAGGCATCTCCTATCTAAACACAAAGATTAATCCAGTGTAATTGGCCTGTTATGTTGGACATTGTCTTCTGTGTTGGCATCGATATGTTCTTGTCTTGTCCTTACTCTCATGGTGGGTAGAGTAAATAGTTCCGTGATTTGGGTGTTCATGGTAGGTCGCTCTATTCTTATGTGAATTGCCTCAAGAATTTGTAATCTTCTTGAATCTTGGGTTTTGTCTATTATGCAAGTATTCTTGTTCAACATTTCTCTTGTTAGAGTAATGTCATGGGCTTGTCTCATGTGATTCCTAGGGGCACCAGATTGAAGATGGCATGTCAAACGCCTCGTCAGCTTGGTCGACGTCATACCTATGTACTTACATTGAAGGTTACATCCTTCGTGGGGGCAAGTGTACATGTATACAACGCTTGACTGCTGTAGAGGGTTCTCCGTCGGCTTCGGGCTGTTTTTGATAAGGAGTTCGGAAGTCTTATTGGTTTTGTAGAATATTATCAGGTTTATGTTCCAAAACATAACAGGTTCATCCCCTGTTGAATCAGCAATCAACAGCCAATTATTGCACAACTATATTCTACCCACCTCAAGACTCCGCTCCAATATAGAAGCATCAAGAAATATGGACCAATAGGCTTTCTACAAACACTTCTATTCAATACCCATTGTTTCTGTTCTGTCTTGTGTTGATACTTTTAATACCCTATTAATATCCCCTGTTCTGTCTTGTGTTAATGCCACATCATCCTTCCCACCTCACTCAAATGTAGATATAATATCAGAGAGACGTAAGTTCTAATCAGTTGTGTATTTGTGAAGTCTTTGAAAATGTAATAAGTTTTACGAAACGCGCCCGTGTCGCGTCAGACTAGAAATAAAAATGAATTTTGGAGAAGTGATTTTTTATTTACCTCCAACAGTGAAGCGTAATGTACGAAAGATTGAGAAAATTCGTGTTAGAATTATTAATCTTACTTTTTCGGTCATATTTAATAATATATGTCTACAGGAAAGACTGCTACCAAAATATACTAATATTAAAGTGCACGACCCAGCAGCAAGGAATCAAGCCTTCACGATAAAATATCGCCAGGATCTGATTCGTGATCAGATATACAAGGCAGAGAATGAAATCAAAGACAACAAAACGCAACTACTTCATGCTACAAACGAGTGGAGAAATAGCAACATCGACCATAGTATCCGTACCCGCATTGAACAACACCTCGACATCCTCACAGACCAACATCACCTCAGCACTGAAACAAGGATTATCAAGAAACTAACAACATTATATGGAGGACCTATGGCAATTCCACGACCAAGAGATGGCTTCCTGAACCTTGCAGGAATTAACCTCACTGAGGACCAAGTCACTCTCCTAAATCTGGGCATAAACTGTCATGTTATGTCCAGACCGAGTGAAATGGCCCGGAAAGTAGAGTTGGAAATTCTGTTGGACGACATATTCGACCTCGAGACACAAAAGAAGGTCACTACCAAAGATACCTTACAAGCAGAACTTATTGCAGAAGGAGGAAAGAATCGAGGCAACTACAGAAGCACCATACTGTCCCCCGAGCTTAAAGCGGCAGCTAAAAGCCTTCGTGAGAACAAGGAGATAGTTGTCAGGAGAGGTGACAAGTCGCCAATATATGTCATTCTTAAAAAAGACGAATATCTGGCGAAAATGAACATCATACTCTCTGACCAAACTAAGTTCCAAAGGGTAACGAAGGACACTACAGCCGAATTAAAAGCAAAGGTCAACAAACTGATCGAAACTGTGAACGCCAAGAAATCCGGACTCCACCTGCCAAAGATCATTGGGGAATATAAACCTGGATATGCGTATGGAAATGTCAAGACGCACAAGCCTGGAAACCCACTTCGGCCAATCATTAGCCAGATACCCACACCCACGTACAGACTGGCGAAGCGACTCAACGGCCTGCTGACTCCTTATGTTCCTTGCGCCTTCAGCCTGAAGTCTCCAAAGGAATTTGTGGACTTACTGCGGGGCGCACGGGCCACAGGGATAAGAGCCTCGTTGGACGTAGAATCGCTGTTTACCAACGTACCTGTGGACGAGACAATCGGAATGATAGCCGACAGAGTGTATCGTGATCCAGCCTGTACTCCTCTTGACATGCCAGAAAGTATTCTGAGGAAACTACTCCAAGCTTGTACTAAAGAGGCACCCTTCTTGAGCCCGGATGGGCACATGTATAAGCAAGTAGATGGGGTCGCCATGGGTTCTCCCCTAGGTGTCCTGTTTGCAAACTTCTACATGGGTACCATCGAGCAAAAAGTCTTAGTCGACATGAACTTGAAACCGGCCATATACTGCAGGTATGTTGACGACATTTTTACACAGGTACCTGATGTCAGACATCTGCAGGAGCTGAAGGAGGCATTTGAGCAGAGTTCTGTGCTGCGTTTCACTTACGAGACGGAAAAGGATGGGAAGCTGCCTTTTCTAGATGTAACAGTCATGGAAAAGGGCGGAGGTTTCCACACTGCAGTCTACACTAAGGAAACAAACATAGGAATGTGCCTAAATGCCAACAGCGACTGCCCCGACAGGTACAAGAGGAGTGTTGTTAACGCATACGTCGACCGTGCTCTCAGCCACAGCTCAGAATGGAAGCAAGTCGACGAAGAACTCTGTAGGGTAAGGCAGGTTCTAGTCAATAACGGCTTCTCCAATGGTTTCATCGAAGACATCATAAGAAGGAAAGTGAAAAGCCATGCAACCTCTGAAGAGACAACTAACACAACACCTATACCCCCTATTAGACTATTTTACAGGAACTTCTTTTCCACAGCTCATAAAACGGAGGAAAGGGTCCTGAAAGATATTGTTAATAGAAACGTTATCCCTACAGACAAAAATCAGAGGATACAACTGACGATTTACTATAAAACCAGAAAAACGGCCAGCCTACTCATGAGAAACTCTCCAGACACAAAACAGAACGCTTTAAAAGAGACTAACGTCGTCTATGCCTTCAAATGCCCACTTGGGGACTGTAAGCTCCAAAAAACCCAGTATATAGGCAAGACAACAACATCTCTTTCTAGGCGTTTAACGATGCATAAGCAACAGGGCTCCATTAAGGAACATATAATCTCTTCCCATAACCAAACCATCGCCAGAGAAATCCTAGTAAACAACACAGAAATCATCGATAGATACAGCGATAGCAGGCGGCTTGATGTTTGCGAGGCACTACACATCAAGAAGTCAACACCAGCAATCAACAGCCAATTATTGCACAACTATATTCTACCCACCTCAAGACTCCGCTCCAATATAGAAGCATCAAGAAATATGGACCAATAGGCTTTCTACAAACACTTCTATTCAATACCCATTGTTTCTGTTCTGTCTTGTGTTGATACTTTTAATACCCTATTAATATCCCCTGTTCTGTCTTGTGTTAATGCCACATCATCCTTCCCACCTCACTCAAATGTAGATATAATATCAGAGAGACGTAAGTTCTAATCAGTTGTGTATTTGTGAAGTCTTTGAAAATGTAATAAGTTTTACGAAACGCGCCCGTGTCGCGTCAGACTAGAAATAAAAATGAATTTTGGAGAAGTGATTTTTGATTTACCTCCAACAGTGAAGCGTAATGTACGAAAGATTGAGAAAATTCGTGTTAGAATTATTAATCTTACTTTTTCGGTCATATTTAATAATATATGTCTACAGGAAAGACTGCTACCAAAATATACTATATATATATATATATATATATATATATATATATATATATATATATATATATATATATATATATATATATATATATATATATATCACAGCAGTAGCAGCCCCACATGCAGAGGATTTCCTGTTAGCAACTATGAGATTCTGATTGTGAGATTCCCCCAGTGTGCATGACATCAAATGTTCCCAAAGACATCAATTTTCTTTGTAAAATGATAAATTACCTTCCCTGAACATGTCTATGTAAATATAATTACCAAATTCCACTTACTTTGGCTGTGAGGGCGTGGACAATGTGCGCTGTGACGTCATCAGGAGCTGGTCGCCAGTGTGTGAAGCTCCCAGACACGGTAGCGCAGCCCATTCAAGCACCGCATGTTGCCACAAATATATTTTCAAATATTTTTTCTATGTTTTTCCAATGCGGTTTTATTTTTTTTTTTTTATCGTATATGATGCATATTTGTGACTTTTACAATATGTATACCGTAGAATGTTCATAATTTTCCATGGTAACTGTGTCACATGTGTCAGTAATGTGTCCACAATAAATGTTTATTTTCATAATATTACGTGGTAAAAATTCACTATTATTACAATATGTACAGTTTCACATGCTATTTACACAGGAACACACTGTATTACACACTCAGTACTTTGGAGGTGCGTAATAGTCAACGATGTAGTCCATGGTACACAGTGCGACTTTGCTCTCCTTGCACCAGCTACAGATAGATTTTCGTTTCCTGTTTCATCATTCTGTGTGCTTGCACGTAACGCACTCGCGTGCACCCTTGGCTTTAGTACTTGTAGGTGGTATCTATCCAAGCTTGTAAAGCATAAGGTAGTATTGAAACGATTATAGGAAAAGCTCAAATTGTAAGGTAATCTTGAAAAGATTGCTTTTTAAGGTCCCACACAGGAAGAGATTCAGCTAGCCTCAAAGAGTGTCCGTCAGTCAGGAAGAGATTCAGGTATTCTTGAAAATATCTATGGACAACACCACCATAGAAGCCGCTAACACTGTTCATCTATGCTACTTGTATCAGATGCACCATCACTGAACACACACAACAATTCATCAATGTATCTATATAAATTGTTTCTATATATAAACTGTCTATCCTGGACAGATGTAATAGGACCCATTATCACCACACCAGAAATAAATATCTCTTTGATATCCCCAGAGTTAAACTTAATCTGTGTAAACACTCTATGCAAATAAAGGGACCCAGTTTATGGAACTCACTCCCTACTGAATTGAAAAGCTGTCCAACTTTTACATCATTCAAAATCAATACTAAAAAGTACCTAATTTCATCTTCATAGTTTTTCACTTTTTGCCTTAAAATTGCACTGTATCAATTGCTACCCAATCTCCCAACCTTTATGTTCCCAATTTGAACATCTTTACCATTGTGATCATTGCTGTTTTCTTATATGTGCTGCCAATCTGTTGTATGGTGTTTATAAATCTTGTTTATCTGTATCTTTTGCTACCCAGTCTCCCAATCTTTATGTACCCATTCTGAACATCTTTACCATTGTGATCATTGCTGTCTTATATGTGCTGTCAATCTGCTGTATGGTGTCTATTAATCTTGCTTAAATTACTAATCAAGCTGTCAATGTAATCAGAGCTTTAATATAACAATGTGCTTTAATATACTTACTTATCTCTCTCATCTCATTTTTCTCTTGTAATGTATCTTTATCATTTATCAATTCTGATTGAAATTACCTACTTAAAATTATCTGCTAGATTAAGGACCTGCCCGAAACGCTGCGCGTACTAGTGGCTTTACAAGAATGTAATTACTGTACTATCCAATGTATTCTCACAAACCCAATGTACCTTCTTGTATATATATAAATAAATAAATAAATAAAATTGGAGATGGCAAGGGTGGGGCTCAGAGCTACAACTGGATACGCTCGCTGTATCATCCTCATAGGTGCTGTATCACTTGCATCCAACCATTGTGTTAAGTCCTTATTGCGCCTAGCTTCACCAATGTTATGACCCTTATGTTTTTCAAACAATAGGGTCTGAATTGCACCGACTGAGCGCAGTCTTTCAACACCGTGTGGGACAGGTGTTTGGGAGCCAGAGGCGCGTGTGCCACAAATGGTTGCTCACGCAGTACTAACCCAGCCAGCAGCCCTAGTCTTTCATATTCGTTATAGCAAAAGGTTCGTTCAGTGTTTGTTGGGTAGGCTGTTCCATTATGGCAATCTTTCTTTGTTTCAAATGTGTTCCATTTGTTTTGTATTTGTCACTTACATCTCAATAATGGAGCAGTCTACCCGACAAACACTGAACGAACCTTTATGGCATTTGTCCATTTTTCAAATTGTTTCAACAGTTCTTCTATTTTTTTTTATTTAAGAAACAAGGAGCAGCCGACCTGTAGACCACCGAACGAACCTTTTTGACATTTGTTCTGGTTTTCAAAATTCTTAATTTTTTATATTATTTACATTTTTTATGTAAGAAACATGGAGCAGCCTACCTGCCGACCACCAAACAAACCTTTTGCTATAAGACAAAGGAAAAATAAATATTGAACACATTTGAAGAAAGGAAAATGTCATAATGATTTATTCAGTGTATATAAGGTAGGCTTCTCCATTATTGAGACGCAAATGACAAATACAAAACAAATGGAACACATTTGAAACAAAGAAAGATTGTTATAATGGAACAGCCTACCTGCCGAAAACCGAACGACCCTTTTTGACATTTGTTGTGTATCAGAAATTTCATTTTTTTTCTACAAAAACATCAATGCTTTGCAACATCTCAGCAGTCGCCCCTTTATATCCCGTCATCATTAGCATCTTTAAACAAGAACAACATAATTTATGGGCATCGTCGGAGGCGTCCGAGAATGTGCAAGAAGCAGCGCGACCCTACCATGTGGTGTTGACGTTACTCAAACGAGCATTCGTCATACGGGACGATTTGACGCTGATCAGGCCGTTCATTACCCAAAATGTTCGTCTTTTGGGGTGATCATTATGCGAGGTACCACTGTACTTTATTTACTAATACAAATTACGTAATATTTACATACATTCTTTGTATTAACTATTCTAGAGTTAATATTAGAGTTAGATAATATTACTGAAAGATTAACATATCCACAGCAAGGTCAATATTTTTTATAAACATATCCCAGAGTATGGGATAATATTTTTTGGTAACATTTGCAGCAGCAGGGTTGCTTGTAAGTCATACCCAAGAGTATGACTAACAAAACCCGTCCTTACTTTCCTATGAATAATGGAAGGAAACGTATGTATCATATGTGATAATTGGGGAAGGGTCAAGTATTCTTAGTCTAAGTTGGACAATAAGTGCACAGTGGGTTAAATCTTTACACATGAGCTTTGTTGAACAACTCCAGATTATTCTACACTTATTAACTATGGGAACACACGATTACGTTGCTGGACTGTTAAGATTGAGTTATACTCTTCACCAAACATATACATGATGGATGAATTGACTATTGGTCCCACACAAATCTGGGCTTAGTCATTATTTTACTGTACACTCTCTTGGTAATACACAAATGTAGCATGGATTTTTACAATATAAGGTCTCTACACTTAATCACTTTACTAACGAGGACCAAGGTTGATGGAGTTTAAACCACGTGTTACAGTACTCCTTAAAGTGGGTGAATGAGCCCAAAATAACACAAGACACACAGGGTTCTACAAATACACATTCCTGAAATTCCTATCCCTAAACTAACAAAGAAAAAAAGCACTAGTACAGTTAATGCACTTATCATTACTGTAGAAGACCACCCAAGCGTCGCATTGACGTCTACTGGACACTGGAGTAGTCGCCGCCTGAGTGGACAACTTGCTGCCGCTCTCCACTCTGTGTGCACTCCCTTGGTTCCAATAATGTTTCACACAAAACTCATATCCCAAAATTGGTCATTTGTATGTCTTATTGAGTTTCAGACTGTTTTCATCATTTAACACTGCTGTTTCTATATATATTTTCAACCAGTGAATGTCATAAATAAGTGTTTCCTATACTATTCCATTGCTTTGGGGAGGATATATAATTATTAATAATAATAATTTTCCTTTCTAAGTCACTGTGCTTTACATGTGCAGAACTGACTATTGTACTGGCAGAAATCATAAATTCATGATTGTCCTGCCCTTCAAGAAGACCTGAACAAAATAAGTGTATGAGCACCACTTGGCAAATGGAATTTAATGCGAACAAATGCCATGTTATGGAATGTGGAATAGGAGAACATAGACCCCACACAACCTATAAACTATATAATTACCTAAGTGTAGTTACAGGATGAGAGCTATGCTCATGATGTCCCGTCTTCCAAGCACTCTGTCATATAACAATTTGAAATTACTGACGCTTTTGTCCTCCATCACCTTCTCACCTAATTTGTTCCAATTATCTACCCCACTTGTTTGCGAAAGTGAATTTTCTTATTCACTTCTAAAAAATTAAATTTTCTTTGGCACCTTTGTTTAGTTAGTTTAAATCTATGACCTCTTGTTCTTGAAGTTCCAGGTCTCAGGAATTTTTGCCTATAAATTTTATCAATTCCCGTTAATATTTTGTACGTAGTGATCATATTGCCTCTTTTTCTTCTATCTTTTAGTTTTGGAATATTTAACCCTTTAACTGTGCAACGCACCTGCTGGCCCACGCTTGGGGTGCACTACGCGCCTCCGGGTATTTGTATTTTTCACGTTCGATTTAAAAGTGACGCAGGTATGGAATGGTTGGCTGGGGGCCCCAGTGATAGTCCGCCATCTTGAAAAAAAATTCCCAGCATGCCCCGTAGCCATGGAGAGCCCCAGTTCACAAGCAGCAACCATGTCTGATGCATCGTCAACGTGCTTCCGCTCCACAGTGACCCGCGGTCATGGAAAACGACTCTCTGAGGAGGAGATTCGCGATATTTTGTACGACGACGATGCTATGGATGATGACCTGGACTATGATCCAGAGAAAGATCTGACACAGAGGTCTGATACGAGTGAGGGAAAGACGCAAGTGGATGATGTGGCGAGTGCATATGGTATACGCTCCTCACCCGGCCTGTCTCGCCGCCCTGGGTCAACACCATTATCACCACCACCATCATGTATGTCCCCTGATGCTAGTTTATTCAGTGACAATACATGTGACAAATCTTTCTCGGGCTTCAGTGACATTGGCTCCGATACGAGTAGTGTGGACGACCCGAGTACTAGCAGCGAGGGTGGTACCAGGCGGGGCTTTGCTGCCTCAGCAACACGTCGAGGCAGGTGACAGCATGTCTCACAGCATGACGACAGTGGGCCCTCAACATCAGGTGATTGTGGTAGGCCTACGGTACGAAAATCTGCCTTAGCGCCAAGCATACCCTCACGCAGCTCCAGCAGCAGCAGCAGACGACGTAGCCGTGGTTTTGGTGCTCGTGGTGGTGTTGGCGCCGACATCAAACTCCCTGGTGTACTTGTGTGGGAGGATTGCACCACATCTGTCCCTCAAATACCAACGTTTGATGATACCGATGTTGTTGTTACAGCTTTATTCCCGTATAACGGTGATGATATGGCGGACATGGAATATTTCCAGGCATATTTTGACAATGTCTTCATGAGGCATCTTGTGACCGAGACAAACATGTATGCCCACACCCTCATAGACAGCGGCATATTACCTGCCTTACGCCTCACGCGATGGAAGGCAACGACAATCGACGAGATGTACGTGTTTCTGGCTCTATGCATGATGATGAAACACTGCGAGAAAGCTGTCGTCCAGGACTACTGGAACAAAGACAGCCTTGTTCCATCACCCGTCTTCAACCGGTATATGTCGCGGGATAAGTTCCACTTGATTCTCAGGCGCCTGCATTTCGAGAACAATGCAAATGCGGACAGACGCGACAGACTGTGGAAGGTACGCAAGGTATTCAGCGACCTGCGAGGGAACTTCAGGGATTATTTTGTACCTGGACAGAATGTCGTTATCGACGAGTTGCTTGTACTGTTCAAGGGCAGACTGGCTTTCAAGCAGTACATCCCTTCCAAGCAGCACCGTTTTGGACTAAAGTTTTTCATGCTGTGCGACTGTGAGACTGGTATCGTCCTGGACATGATCTTGTATTCTGGTACAGACGTCGACATACCAGCTCAAGATGAACATGGGTTCTCTGGCAGTGTCGTAAAAACCCTGATGGAACCAGTGCTGAACAGGGGGCATATACTGTTCACTGACAACTATTACACTAGCCCCCTGTTGACCAAATACGTCCTTGCCCACAACACCAGCATATGTAGCACTGTGAAGGTCCTCGGGAAGGAAATGCCAGTGTTCGGTATAGGTATATCCGTGGGCGAGTACCAGCTGCGCAAGTGTGACAATATGCTGTCAGTGCGGTGGGAAGACAGACACGAGGTGAATATGCTGACGACGATTCACACCGGTGCCATGTTGAACAGTGGGAAGGTCCATTTTTAGATGCGCAACCCCATGTATAAGCCGGACTGTGTCATAGACTATAACGTGAACATGCGCCTCGTCGATAAATGTGACATGAAGATTGGTGGTGTGGAGTGCGTGCACAGGTCTGTGAAGTGGACGGAAAAGTTCTTCTTCCACCTCAAGGATGTTGCAGTGCTCAACTGCTTCAATATGTACTTGTTGAAGTCCGGCAGGAAACCGTCTGCTTGATACCTGCTTGATGGGGTTCTAGGAGTTCTTTTACTCCCCAAGCCTGGCCCGAGGCCAGGCTTGACTTGTGAAAGTTTGGTCCACTAGGCTGTTCCTTGGAGCGGGCCGCAGGCCCACATACCCACCACAGCCCAGCTGATCCGGAACTTCTCTTAGAAAACAGTCCAGTTTTCTCTTGAAGATGTCCACGGTTGTTCCGGCAATATTTATTATAGTCGCTGGGAGGACGATGAACAACTGCGGACCTCTGATATTTATAGTGTTCTCTGATTGTGCCTATGGCATCTCTGCTCTTCACTGTCTACATGTACCTTCAGTGCCAGTGTTGTGTCACAGCTGCTAGTAAAGTATGGCAGGCAGGAGTCCGTAGTACCGCGCAAGGTGCAAGCAACAATGCCATACGCAGCTCCAGACAGATTGCGGGGTAATGAGAACTTCGAGGTACACATGCTGAAGTATATGCCAGGCACAGCATCACAGGAGAAGGGTAAATGTGTGTGCATAGTATGCAGGAACACTATACACAGATCACAAAAGCGAAGATGCATCAGCATCTGGTGCATGGAGTGCACGGTGCCACTCTGCCCCGTTGGCTGTTTCGCAGCATATCACACACTCGCGGAGTACTGTGTGTGTGCAACCCGTTCTGCAAATTCGTAAAGTCAATATTGACTTATTAAATAAGTGCATAGGTGACATACTAAATATAATAGATACCCTTAAAAAGCTTCATAGAAAACACCGACCTTACCTAACCTTGTTAGTATCTTAAGATAAGCATCTTATAGCTTCGTAATTACAATTGTTACTTAACCTATTATAGGTATAGGTTAAGTAACAATTGTAATTACGAAGCAAGAAGATGCTTATCTTAAGATACTAACAAGGTTAGGTAAGGTCGGTGTTTTCTATGAAGCTTTTTAAGGGTATCTATTATGTTTAGTATATCACCTATGCATGTAGTTAATAAGTCAATATTGACTATACGAATTTGCGAGAACGGGTTGGTGTGTGTATAGTGTGTGTATATAGTGTGTGATACTGTACAGTGTGTGTATATATAATGTAAATATAAATATATCAGAGTGATAAATTGGAAATAAGTGTACTTGTTTGTGATGCACGTAACACAGTGTCTACAGACGGTACGGATGTTCTACTGCCATAATATAGTGTACGTGTTCACCATACATTAGATCAGCACGTAAAATCTAATAAATTGTATTTAGAACTGTGCGCAAAAAATGAGCAAAAATATATTCGCGGCAGCGCGTGCATCCCGCCCCGGGGGCCCCACCGGTCCCGGGAGCTTACGGCATGGGCGCACGGGGAATGATGACGTCACGTGCCACCTTACGGACCCCATAACAGCCAAAGTAAGTACAATTTTGACATTACATTGCTATACCCAAATACAGGGAGGGGTTTTTGACACTTTTAGAAAAAAAAAAAAAAAAATTTTCCTGAGAATTTATTTCTTGTGCATTGGGGGGGGGGGGGGGGTCATATTTGGAGGCCGCGCAGTTAAGGGGTTAATGTCTCTAACCACTCCTCGTAGCTCTTGTCCTTCAGTTCTGGGAGCCCTTTAGTTGCATGTCTTTGCACCTTTTCCAGTTTGTTGCTGTGCTTCTTAAGATATGGGCACCATACAACCACTGCATATTCCATTTGTGGGAGTATGTCTCCCAAGATACTCCCACAGCTGACTGGAATGGCTCATTGCAGTGCACAGTGCACAGACTTTGTGCACAAGGTCCTATTTCTGTTAACCCTGGATAGTGACCTGGCATGCTGGGTATCTCCAGAATGCCCACTTAACCAGGAACACTTTCATAATACGGAGGCCGCCGTATGTCCAGGCAGGAAGTAGATACAGGGAGTTAAGCATACTTGCCACAGGGTCAGTGAGTACATTGGCTGGGGCCAGCGTGAGAGTAGAGGGGAGACGCCAACGACCGTCTGACCTCTGGGGTCAACTGGCACGATGAAGAATAACAGCTCCTGCTACTGATCATCGAACGGTCAATATGATTGGTTCCCGCTCATTTGCTGCAATGCTATTGGTCAAATTGTAACTCTTTTTGTGTTGTGCCCACAGGACGCCCTGAGCTTCAGGAAAAAGCATTCTCGTGAGGGATCTCTTGCAAAGTGGACGTGTAACTGTTCTGTCTATCAGCCAATAGACTGAACACCGTCTATTCCTCACCGTCAAGTTAACTCAGCGCCTCTGCGATATACCACACACTCGCCCAGAATCACGAGTGTGAATATATTGTTCAGAAGCCTAAAATGACAAATCTCCAGAGTGAAACAGACTGGTATCAGGTAACCCCTGGTGACAAAGATCGTTGTGAGTGACTTAGAGTGAACTAAGGCAGTGCTGCCGCCTAAGTAATCTGTGTGTGACTTTACCACAGTATGCCTGTACCACAGTGTACAGTGTAGTGCATGGTGCCATATAACCTGCAGCCGCCAGCCGCCGCCGCCCTCACTGTACCACGTGACATCACCACCCTTACTCACCGCCAGTGCCAAGAGTGTATGCGTGTTTCTGTACGCCCTATTGCGAGTACCCTCCGTGTCTACGAGCGAAACCAGCTGTCAGGCCACCTACGAGTTGTTGCATAAATGTGCCTGAGTGAGTAAAGAGAGGTACCTTATCTGTAAGTACAAGATCTTGTCATTGTTTATTGTGTCTGTGTTGATCTGAGGTATCAACCACAGTTTTCACCTTCTCATACCTGTCACAGTGAATCGACGGTGTATGCGTGGTTATCTGTGTGGTATCACGGCATTTCACTCGTCTTTGAATGTGACCTTCACATACACCACACATTTAGTTATCGTGTGTGATTATTATTGTGCATGTTATTGCCTGTCCCATTGTGATTTATTGCATATCATCATTACCGAGTATCCGGTTGGAACTCTTGTGATTCCTTTGCATACCGGCAGTTAGGTTGCTGTATTAATAATTGGCTGTCAACTGTGTTAAGTTAGATGTTTCTCCACGAGTGGATACAGGTCGTTAGCCAGACGTCAAGAGTCTCGCTAACATAACCATAGCTTTGCTGACGCCAATCTAAAGTAAATCAAACACCCTGTGTATTAGTGGTTAAGTTAGTAAATTACTGTTAAGCTTTAAGTGGTGTTTGCGTTGAACCACTTCTGAATACTGCCAATATTACTCAAGCCTTCAGCTCTAGGTGTCTTCAACACCGAATTGCCTAATTCACTAAACTATAAATGTGATGAGGACCCTAGGAGTCCCTTAAAGTGTTACATCATTGAGGAGATTCCAACGATCGACGTGGAGCAGGACCAGGTGAGGCTAGTCTGAGAAGAGACCCTCAAGGACTCTAACTCGACCTTGCTCGTATTTTCTATTCTGCTAATTCCGACAGTTTCGTGAAGCGTCTGCCACATGTACATTGGCGACGTACGCATTGCAGTCGTGAAAGCAAAAAAGAAAACCCCCACACCATTCCAGCTTTGGTCTAACAAAAGTTGTGAACAATATCTTTAGTATCTTGCCATCCAAGTGTTTAAAAAAAATTTTTAAGTTAGAAAGTATAGCATAGGCTCCTCACACAATATTCTTTATGTGGTCCTCAGGTGATAGTTTTCTATCTAGAACCACTCCTAGCTCTCTTTCTTTATCCAAATTCTTTATCGATTTCTCACATTTCATAGAGGTGTCTAGATATGAAATGAAAAAAATGCTGAAGGAGCTAAGTAAGAACAAAGCATTTGGCCCAGGTGGAGTTTTACCATGGGTCCTGAGAGAATGTGCACCTGAGCTCAGCATTCCACTTCAATAGACCATCATATATAGACCTGTCCCACTATGCTACCTATTTCAGACTCCCAGTTGATATTAGAGGCAGCAGCACTCTACAACAGTGGCAGCAGGGAAGATCCCATTAAATATAGACATGTATATCATTGACAAGTGTAATAGTCACAATATTGGAAAAAATAATTAAAACTAAATAGGTAGAACCCCTGGAGAAAAACTATATAATAACAGACAGACAGTATGGTTTTGGATCTGGAAAATTCTGTGTAACAAATTTACTCTGTTTCTAGGATCTAGCCACAGAGATTTTATAGGAAAGATATGGTTGGGTATTTTTATTTTGGCTCTCCTAATATTTTGGACAGCATTGATGAGTATCTCCTTGAAACTGCTTTGGAGATAACCCCTAACCAATACTGGTACTTCTTCTCATGGTGATGCTTTTTATTAACCCTTAAATTGCACATCGCATCATATGATGCTTTGACTGACTTGCAGTAAATTGCGCATCGCATCATATGATGTTTTGGAGTACTACGCAAGATTTAAATGGCCCGCTGATACAAAGGGTTCACCACACCTTCATCAGGGCTCTTGTAAACAGACGCCATTTTTTTTTAAATCGTGGGTCAAATTCCCGGGTGTTAGGGGCCTCAGTATTGAGTGAGCCACCAAGTCTGACGCACGCAGCATGAGCTCACAGCACTGCTGTTCAGCTTGTGACCACAGTATCGCCTAAAAATGCCATAATATACTTGTTCATGCAATTATGTAGCGATGATATTATTACAGAAGACCCCTGACTGATAAAACTGACCAGGGTTCTGATAATAACAGGATTGTGGTGATATTTAGCGCTGTGCTCCATGGAGGGAGGAGTAATGCTGAGGGAGGGGAGGGTAGTGGCGTTGTCTTCTGACTGTGTGTGGCCACCTTTTATTGACTGCACTCACCATACCAGCTTAGTGGTTCACTATGGTGAACACAAATGTAGATACTTATATATAACGTGTGTATAGAGGGTATAAACAGCAAGAGGAGTAGGTTGGGAGCCGCCATTTTGGTGAGGGCGGTGGCGTCGTCTCCACGATTTATCATGTTTCCTGTTGGTCACTATGGTCTTTGGGCACCATACCAGTTTACTTGTACAGGTATGGTGAATAAAACAGGTAGATATTTATATATAATGTGTGTATATAGCATAACAGCACCACAAACAGTATTGTTGGAGGAGAAATATTAGTGCGTCTGGCCTTGAGGTCGGTAGCCATCAGCTGACTATGTGAGTAGCTACGTCTTTGTGCGTTTACTCACCATACAAGCTTAGATGTACAGTTATGGTGAACATGTAAATACTTATATATAACGTCTGTATATTAAAGCAAAAACAGTATGGTGGGTGGAGAATGATGCCAAGTCAGGTGAGGTGAGGGAGGGAGGGAGTGGCAACCAGGGGCGGGCTGCCACTGGCTGCCACTGCCACTCAGCATACCAGCTTAGTGGTTCGTTATGGTGAACACAAATGTAGATACTTATATATAGCGTCTGTATATAGTGAATAAAAGCAAAAACAGTATTGTGCGAGGAGAATGTGGGTGAGTCAGGTGACTTGAGGGAGGGAGGAAGTAGCAGCCAGTGGCGGGCTGCCACTGGCACTGCCACTCAGCATGCCAACTTAGTGGTTCGTTATGGTGAACACGAATGTAGATACTTATATATAACGTCTGTATATAGTGAATAAAAGCAAGTAGCTTTTATATATATAGCCATGTGCCATTTAAGGGTTAACAGATTTAGGTATACCATGTTATGGATTGTTTAACCTTTTAGTTGTGACTTGTTTACTTAGCATTGGACAGTGGGTATTATAGATGCCAACACAAACAATATGGTGGAAGTGCTGATAATCAAAACAGGGATCCTAAATGTAGTTAATGTCCTTGTATATAAGTCACCAGAGGCAGCAGTTTAAACACAAACTAATGAAAATAGAACACTGCTTAGAAAATCTCACAAATCCAGCCCCATACATCATCCTGCTTGGGGACTTCAACCTACGGCATCTGAAATGGAAGACCCTAGGTAATACAGTTCTATCAGGGAGAATTCCTACAAGTAGCCTAAATGAACAGTCACATGCAAATGACCTGCTACAGATGTGCAACAGGTTTGCCTTAAATCAGCAGAGTTGAACCAACTAGGAAGGAGAACACGCTGGACATCATTTTCACTAATAATGATGAATTGATCAGGAACATAATGATTACAAATACCTGTTACTCAGATCACAACTTAATTGAAGTTCTGATAAGCATGGGGAATAGACTTTCAAAACCAGTCTTGATTCCCCGTGGAGGAGATTTCAGCAAATTCAACTTCAATAATAAACAGATAAACTAGGGGCAAATGAACCAAGACTTCACAGAAATAAGATGGGAAGAACAGCTAAAAAATGCAAACCTGAACCAGTGCCTGAAAAAAATAAGCTCAGTAGCACTAGAAATATGCTCAAACCGCATATTCCTAAGAAATATTACAGGAAGAGATGCAGATTGGAATGAGAACGTCGTTCCCTCTATAGGCGAAGAAAACAAATCACGGAACAACTTGAGAGTCGCACCCTATCTCATGAACGGCGAAGAAGGTTAGGTAGAGAAATAGAAACAATTGAACTAAAGCTACAAGAATCATACAAAACCCAGGAGAGGCAAAGAGAGCAAAAGGCCATCAGTGAAATAGAGAGAAATACTAAATATTTTTTCTCCAATGCAAAATCAAGATAAAAAACCACATCTAGCATCAGGCCCCAGCGAAAGAGACAGGGAACTTTCACAGATGACAACAAAGAAATGAGCGAAATACTGAGGAAGCAGTATGAGAGCCACTAAACACACTAAAGATTGATAACTGTTATGATCTCAGCCTGCAGGAGAAACGAGTCTCCCCTTGAGAGTCATTCTACCAGACTTGACCTAAGAGGTTAAAGAGATATAGACCTGGATATTTATATAGTAGACATTTGATTGAATTTGACTAACGGTTTGCAAGTATGGCAGTGAATTAGGATATAAATAAATGGCTGGTCATGAGATGTGGAGAATTTGCTGGGGTGTGAGGCTCGCTTATAAGGACGTTGACCTCACTTGAGCACCAGAAATTGCGATGGGGATGTTGAGCTCCGTTGGGCTCCGGTTAGAAAAGAACCCCCTAGATGATGTACCTTCAAGAGGAGGAAGGAAGTGTGCAAACGTTTCCGCTGTGGAATTAATCTGGAAATGTGTGGTCATGAGTCCTGGATGGCAGGAAGAGTTGTGAAGCCGTCCAGAAACATTTT